GTAAGGTTGAAAGACAAAGGCGCAAGGTAGAAGATGAAGATTGCAAGGAGTAAAAGTTCGCGTAAAAAACCAGGGTAAAAGACTAACAAAGAGTTTAAAGGAAAAGCCACCTAAGGTACTGAAAACGTCGGAGGCGAAGGGTAATTAATGTGGCGCGTGCAGTAAGGCAGCAGACTGACGCGATGGCGACATAAAGTAAAAAGAAACCTAAAAACCCTGTAAACCCTAAAACCCCAAAAACCCTAAACCATAAGTTTGGTGGGCCTCCAAACACCAAGGCGGGAATGTTGAAAGAATATAAACGGAAATTATTTGTATTCTTTCAAGGGGGCATTTTGTTAGTGAAAAATTGAGAAAAGTTATCGAAAAACGAAAGAAAGAAAAATCGAGAAACATGTGATTTATTGATAAATAAAAAATATGGATGAGAAATCATTTGATGTTCAATTAGAAAGTGCGTGGCACATAAAATCGAGAAGTAGAATCAAGAATCGAAGGAATAATAGTTAAATGTCTATTGTCGAATAAAAACCAAGAAATTAGAAGTATATGACGTTAAGGTTAAAAGGAATCGAAAGCAATTCAAAGTTCTCGAGATCTTAAAATCGAAATTGAGGGGAAGATTAACTTATGAGGACATTGAAACCTTGGTCAAATCATAAAGAGAAGAATAGTTAAACACGCAGATAGGAAGCAGTTTTTTAACCGTGGCAGAGGTCGAAGATCATGGGAACGTGGGTGCGGTTTTAACACCACAGGAAAAGAAACCGCAACATGCACGAAGAATGTGGTAGCAGTTTCGTTAACTGCTCCTAAGAGACTACTTGAAAGATGATTTATAAATAGAGCAACAGATGAAAAGAAAAGGGGTGTGTGGAAAATTTGGCAGAGAACAGAAATACTAGTGAGAAGTCTACCGGAGAACGACGAACATCATGAAGTTTCTAGCGATCTGGATTTCCATGCTCATTGAGTACCTTTACTGCTTTCTTTATTTTCCCTGGTAATCTAATTTGATGCAATTTATCTTTAGCAATTTTAAGTTTCTGTACTTTCGATTCCTTGTCATTTCCTTTAATGAAAGTTAAGGTTCCGCATTTAAGCTTCTTACTATTTACATTTCTGTAATCTCGATTTCTTGCTATTTACATTTTCGCGTATTTCAATTTCCTGCCAGTTATATTTTCTGCAATCTCGATTTCATGCCATTTACATTCTTGCTACTCCAATTTCTTGTCATTTAATGCAAATTTGAGGTTTCCGCATTTTTACCTCTTGGCAATTCAATTTTCTGTTTTGTTTTCGATTCGACGCTTCTATTGTTTTGTTTACTTTGAACACTCTAAACATAAAATACTAAAAACAACATTTTCGATACTATGTAAATTTCGATTCTCATATGCATTTCAATTGAAAATCAATTTGCTAGCCTAAGTAAAAAAGAACTTGTGTGGTTGAATTTTGATTAGAATCAAAACATCTTAAGAATCGGAATCGATCGAAATTCCACCAGAAACAAATACATACAAAGGTAAATGAACTTAACAAATGTTAAAAACAATTACCTCTGATTATACCCGCATAAACTTTTGTGTATTACATGTGCTTATGAACATATTTTGGAAAAACTGTAAAGAAAAATCCCCTTCAAGAATTTGCCCCCTCTTCTGCGTCTTTTTCTCTTCGTTTTGATATGTTATACATTCGAGTCAAAAATTATCTTATTTCAAACATTTTTCGTTTTCTTTTCATCATAAAATCATAATACACAAAACAACAACAACCTAAACCCCCAATATACAAATTACAACAAACAAAAAAAGTAGGATTCAAACGCATAGAATACTAACTACAACAGATCAATATCAATAACAATTTAGCAGAAATATTCAATTTCAACATAAAAGATGAGACGAGACATATAAAATACTAACCTCAAATATACAAAATTTTTTATAAAACTTGAATTCAATCAGAGAGAAATGTCAACCACCATAAATGGGACATAATGAAATTATTTACGTCACTCATTGTGGTCAAAATATATCTTGAAAGGAATTGTTCATCGTCGTTATTCTAAAAAATTCTTGCTACACAAGACCAGGGAGTGATACAGGAATAGAATAAAACGTGACTTTTATATCGATCCATAAGAGACCGACTTAAAAACTTATTCATCTTTTAACGTCATACCCATAAAGGAGTGATGTAAAAGACCTTTTTTACGTCATCCTTTTATGGTTTGATGTAAAAGTCTCCCAATATTTATAAAACTACTACCGTATTTTTTTTTAAGTCGATTATTTTTAAATTCAACAAGAATTAAGTGATGTAAAATGTCTTTATGCAATATTGTAAATAAATATCTTTATTCTTATTCAAGCCTATTTATGTTGTAATATGTACTTTTTAAAACATCGTTTAAATTTTATTCATTATATTTCTCGAGTTTATTTTCATAGGTTTCACTTATAATTATATTGGGAATTGAAAATGCATAAGCATGAAGCTACTATATTCGCAAGCTTGATTGATATTTATTTAAACGAACTGATTTTATATTTTAATTTTTCGGAACAAAACGATATTTTTAAGTGGTAGAAAAATAATAATGTTTTGAAAAACCATTCAATGACAACTCAGGACATATCAAACATTCAAATTACTATCGATGTACCATATCAATTATTTTAAATAACTATATAGGTTATTTATTATAAATTTAATATATAATTTATACATTTAAAAATACTTATTGGTTATGAATTGTAACGATAACATGTGTATTACACGGAGTAAATAAAGTAACAGAATAATATCTGTAAATTTAGAAACGAATGTTACCATATTTAATTCAAACAAGTGCTTCTCTTCTCGCTGCATTGAATGATATTTAAAAACACTCAACTACTTGACGATACGTGCCAAATTTCAACAACAACAAAATGAATATTCAAACTTTGAAACTGGCGTTGGATTTGGAAGTGTCTGATGTACACAGGAACACCTGGAAAGTCCAGAAAAAGAAAAGAAAAAAGAAATTGATTAATGGTGGAATTGATGCATGAATGAGGACGTGAAAGAGGATACGTTCACTCTGTTGTTCTTGGTATGAGCAAAGGAATGAGGTCACTTTTTTCTATCTGTGTATTTTATTGTATTGTATTGGAGGTGCCCCACAACAAGAACTCGTGTACTTTTTGAATCTTCAATTTCAAATCACCAAGATTCACAGTAACCGCGAGAGGGACACTCGCAACACCAAGTTCAGCAAACCTTAGCGTATAAAGTATACAGAATAACACACTGTCTTAATTAGTTTATTCAATCGTATACGAGGTTTAGGTAAAACCATTTACATTTTAACCACATTGATTCATTTCATCGTCCATTAGCAAATTCTTATAAATATGAAATGAAGATTTTTTTTTTTTTAACTGTGAAAAAGGTCCACATTTTGTTGAAGTATAGTTGGTGCAAAAGGCGTTTCTGTTGTAGAATAATTTTGTTGGGTGTGATTAGATTAGAGAATGCATAGTTGGACTTGTCAAATTTGATGTCCTATTATTATTCTCTGCTGAAAGGATGAAAAATGAATTAATTCAAATCAGAGTTGACTTTCCTTTTACCTAAATTGGATTCTCTTTTTGGTTGTTGCAAAATAGTGGTAGTAATTGATTTGCCACTTTAAGGTTAATGTTGCTTAGATCAATACATATTTTTTTCCCACTACTCTTATTTTATTTTTAAACGAAAGAACCATAAAGGATTAGTGTATTAATTTAAAGTTATTTTTATTTAGTTAGTAAAATTTCATTTACTTTCTAATTGAAAAGAAATGAGTATTTGTTTGAAAAATTAAAAGAAAGATAAAATTGAAAACAACTTATTTATTGTTATTGATAGAGTTATCAAATTGGGTTTGGCTATGTGTTTGTTTGATGCGTTCCACTTTTCCTAAATGGGGAAGATAGGAGGATGGTTCAGGAGGAGAGAAAGAATAACCACTTGCCTCACTCCTACCACTAATTATTGTGAATCCTTCAATTTGTATACCGCCACATTTCTTATCATAATTAATCAAGGACCCACGTGTTCACTGTTCACTTCGACACCAGTGTTCAAACTTCAAAACTGGTCAAAAAGCTACCTTTTTAAACTTATTTCATTTTTTTGTTATTATTAATTTTTATATAATATTTTATACACTACTCTATATTTTATCATTAATGTAATTATCTTCACAAATTTCTAACAGAATATCATAAAAATAATAAATAAATTCTAAAATAACATCCTTTTGTTATCATTTTTTTAAAATTATGTAATTTTCACTTCATTAAAAAAATTGGAAAATTGAATGACAACATGATTTTTTTTAACGAAACATTTTTTTAAACATCCAGATAATAAAACATAAATTTTAAAAATTATGCAAAAAAAAGCTGATTCAATTCCATATATTTAGCAAATATGAATATAAATATTAATTACTGAAAGTTTCTAATAACACTCTTAAAAATACGGAAAGAGAATAGATGATGATCCAATAGAAAAGATGGAGAGAAATGAAAACCAAAATAAGAGAGATACTGAGGTAATGAAACAGGTCATCAATGCACACAACACAAAGATGGCAATTAATTAATATTAATTAATTAGTAAGAGTGAAGAACATGAAAAAAATACGCAGTAAGACAAAAAGTTCCACTATCTCTCTCTCACATGGGTAAAAAAGAAGTGTCCAGGTTCATCCTCTGGAACTAGTCTATGTCGAAGGAACCCCTTTATATATAAAATCCCAAACTCATCGTTTCTGAGCAACCCAGGTTGTCTGTTACGGATCAGCATCAATTAGAGAAAGAAAGCTACTTCACAATTTGGGGCCTCCTTCAATTACCCTTTTATCCCTCCTCTCCACTAACTCCTCCTTTTTAATTTTATAAAGCACATTCCCACAAGGATCCCCGACACAACGCAACACGACACAACTCACTTCAATGGCGTCCATGGCCACTTTTTTCGCCCAAACTTCCTTCCCCTCCCACTCTCTCTCCAAAACCTTCGACACCCATTTCGCCACTGCCCCCAAAGTCAACGTCTGTGTGAGTTTCAGGGCGAGGAGGCACGCGGGGTTGCGGGTTTCGAGCGGTTTGATCGAACCTGACGGAGGGAAGCTGGTGGAGCTTGTGGTGAGGGATTCGGAGAGGGATTTGAAAAAGGGTGAGGCGCTGTCGTTACCGAGGATCAAGCTTTCGAGAATCGACTTGGAATGGGTGCACGTCCTCAGTGAAGGATGGGCCACTCCCCTCAAAGGCTTCATGAAGGAAGCCGAGTTCCTCCAAACGCTTCATTTTAACTCGCTCCGACTCGGCGATGGCTCCCTCGTCAACATGTCGGTGCCCATCGTCCTCGCCATCGATGATGCGCAGAAGCATCGGATCGGGGATAACAAAAGGGTCGCTCTTTTCGATTCCAAGGGAGACCCCGTTGCCATTCTCAATGAGTAAGACACTCACACACTTCCCCCCCTCTATGTGTTTTCTTTTATGTTTTTGTTACATCATGTCTTTACTTAATGTTCAATTTGCATTTTTGCTCCTTGTGCTGTGTGGTTTTCATTTTTTCTTCTTTATGTGACTAGTTCATCAATAATCAATTACGTTTTTTTTTCTTGTTTGTGTGAACGGAAAGGAGGAGGAGAGGAAAGTTTTTTTTTTTCACATTTTATTTTGTGACAAACAAAAATTTAAGTAATTAATTATATATATATATATATATATATATATATATATATATGTATGTATGTATTTTTAAAATTTAATTAGAATGTACTGACGTGATTTGATATGCTGTTATTCAATCACAAATTGTCATTGTCATGTATCATATGGTAAGTTTTATTGACTTCTAAATAACTGTCTTAAATTCAGATTAAGTCTTACTTAGAATTATTCTTATTGATTATTTTGAGTTTATGGGAATTATACCCTAATTTTCTTTTTTCTTTTTCTCACAATGGGACAAGATAAATATGCAATTAGGAGTATTAACTGTGAAGAGAGTAGGTACTGTTTATGTGCAGTTTAAATGAAACTATTGAGAACTGAAGGTTAATTAGGAACGACGAAAATGCTGGGAATTTGGATTTCCCTACATGTTTTTGTTTCCTTGGTCAATTCCTTTTCATTTTGTACTGTGATGCTATGGTTGGTTGAATAGTCAACCACTTATACAATGCCGTAGTGGAATTTGAGAACGTTTCCACTACTTTCGTTGTTTGTCTCCATGTTTTTTTTCATTATTATTTTGTTCATGTCAATCCAATCTTGTTGAGGTTTACTTGGTTCTGATATCACCTGGTGACTTGTATTGGAAAAGTTAATATAAGAAGATCGAGTGGACGATAAGAAAATTTAAATAGTAGTTTGCTGTAACTAAAAAGTATTCAATAGATATAGTGCTTGTACGGATAAACGTATGTATATTGGTTTTGTGGATTTTTTTTTCCCTTTAAGTGGTCCCAGAATTCACGACAGAATGTGTTTTGACATTCTTGTTCCAAAAATAACCCCGGGTTAACAGATTTTTTCATGCTTCTTAGGTTTGAAGGCATGTTGGTATAGGTTCTTGATCAATGAAGTTTGCGTGCCTTATCCATATTGACCCGTATTTAGAAATTGTTGTCCAGAAACATGCAAATAATTCAGATATTCAAGTTAACATTGATACGAAACTTGAGATAATATGGTTTGACAAAGTTCAAGAGACCTGTATAGGAGTCCTACACGTAGGATGTGTCAAATGTCAATAACACAATCATTCCCTGAATAATAATTTGGTCTTCTGTTACAGTTGAAGTTGATTTTCTGAACAGTTTTATATGTGCGTATGTTAGTTGTATTTGTTATTTGTGATTTTTTTATTCTTCATTCTTTCTTTGTAACTGTTTTATTATCATCCATTCTTATTATGACTTATATTTTTCTTTTGATTATTTCAGTATTGAAATTTATAAGCACCCTAAAGAAGAAAGAATTGCCCGAACTTGGGGAACCACTGCCCCTGGCCTACCCTATGTTGAACAAACAATAACCAATGCTGGAAATTGGTTGATTGGGGGTGATCTAGAGGTCATTGAACCCGTCAAGTACAATGATGGCCTTGATCATTTTCGGCTGTCCCCTGCAGAACTTCGTTCAGAGTTCACAAGGCGCAATGCTGATGCTGTGTTCGCCTTCCAGCTCCGGAATCCTGTTCACAATGGCCATGCTTTGCTAATGACTGACACCCGAAGGCGGCTTCTCGAGATGGGCTATAAGAATCCTGTCCTCTTGCTTCATCCACTGGGCGGCTATACCAAAGCCGATGATGTCCCACTTGATTGGAGAATGAAACAACATGAAAAGGTGTGTACTAAACCAAATATTGTTATAGGCAAATGTGAATTCTGAGTCTCATGGTTGAAACTATTTCACTTTCTTTTTCCTTTTACATTGGGTTTAAACCCCCCTGGTTTCCTATTTTTCTTGATACACACATTGACTCCAAAGTGCCCCTTTCCCTTCCAACATGTGTTGTTTTAGTGAGCTTTGATTTTTTTACCACAGAAAAACTAACCTGTATCAATTTGTTTTTTCTTTAGGTACTTGAGGATGGTGTTCTAGATCCAGAGACAACTGTGGTATCCATATTCCCTTCTCCCATGCACTATGCAGGACCCACAGAGGTGCAGTGGCATGCAAAGGCTAGGATCAATGCAGGGGCTAACTTCTACATTGTAGGTCGTGACCCAGCAGGCATGAGCCATCCAGTTGAGAAAAGAGATCTGTATGATGCTGACCATGGGAAGAAAGTATTAAGCATGGCACCAGGACTAGAACGACTAAACATTCTTCCTTTCAGGGTAATTGTGATTGAGAATTTGTCTTCTCCCTAATGCTGTGAGTGAAGTGATGTTCACCCTGGCCATATATGTGATGGTGATCATTTTCATTCTTTTACAGGTTGCTGCATATGACAAGACTCAGGGTAAAATGGCGTTTTTTGACCCTTCAAGGCCTCAGGACTTCCTTTTCATCTCAGGCACAAAGGTATTTTATTCGCTGAATAGCAAACCATGGAGTTGATGTTCTTGCATATTGATAGTATGTTAACAAACGTTACTTGCATTTTCAGATGCGCACACTTGCAAGGAACAAAGAAAGTCCACCAGATGGATTTATGTGCCCTGGAGGATGGAAGGTGCTGGTTGAATATTATGATAGCTTGGTACTCTCGAGCAACGGCAAAGTGCCAGAAGCTGTTCCAGCTTAATGTTGTATCATAATGTATATCTCATGATTGGGAGAAACCTTAAGCTTACATATTCTCCTGCTAAACGCATATTCCTGAAGGATCCTCTGGCCCAATCTCTAATAATAATAATAATGAAAACTTTGGGGAGGCACAGGCACAGACACATTGCCTCTCTCTGTATGTATGGCTTTTACTGTTGCCTCTTGCACTTACAGTGCAGTTGTGCATGCCAACTCTGTAATATAATCTGGTTGTGCTAAGGATTTGGTTTGATAGTTTTTATTTACTACACTTCGTTTCATCATTGTTTTCGTCTTGAAGACCTACTAATTCAATTTAAACTCATTTCACCCATTAAATTTTCAACATTTCGCATGGAATGTTTTTTCATGATAGTTAGTCCATTATCGTCAATGAGAATTGATGCCATCAGTGGCGGACCTGCTTTGGTAATGAAAGTAGATAATATATTAAATTTTTTAATTTTGTACTCTCCAAATTTATATATCGACTCTTTTACAACTTTTTATTTATTTATTGGAAAGAAAGATGGAAAAGTTAGTGAGGATTTGTGGAGGTCAAATGCATCAAAGCGCCACCATACTTGCTAAAAAACAAGAATGGTGGGAAAAGAAATTAAGAATATGAATCTCTAAAATCAAAGATTGAACTAAAAGGACAAAAGTATATTATTACATGTGATTACATCTCTCCCTGCCTATGTTCACACGCCAGTTAACTAGGAGAACAAATGTAATGCACACCGAAGTGTTATTATCTAAACATTATGATTCGGCAAGTACTATTTTCGTGACTAGTTGTTAGATTATAATTTAGTAATATTATTGTTATATTTATGTGACTAGTTGTTAGATGATAATTTTGTAATATTATTCTTATATGATTTTTTAGTTGGGTTAGTTATCCTAACATATATTAATGACTATTTTAAATATTGTATTTTTAGTATTTTAATAATGTAATTGTATAATTTAATATATCTTTTTTTTTTATATTCTCTGGATACTTATTCTTATATTCATTTTCGTTAATAATATCAATGCTCGATAACAAGAATTTGAATGGGTATGATAGTTGGTGTGTGTAGATGAAAGTTGGGTTATTTTTTTGTTTTTAAGAAGTCTTGAACGTAGTTCTGAATGAATATGAGGGATTATCGGAGAATTCACCAAGGGGCGGTGTGCGACGTTACATACCAAGGGGCACAATTACATAGGTGGAGAGAGGCTGAAGATAGTGCAACTTCAACTCTTGTATCGTTAGTATGAGTTGTTGTAAATAGAGACGCAAGAAATCATCCAAGAATATTTTATAAGATGGTTGTCAATCACAAACTTGATGAAGTCTTGTGATGAAAACTTAAAAGAACAAGCGGTGGTAGAGAAAGTGTTGAGAACCTTCGATACTAGGTTTGACATAATTTTTGTAGCTATCGAAGAGTCTAAAGATCTTGATTTGTTGAAACTTGATGAACTATAGGGATTATTGGAGGCTCATGAACAACGGTTACGTGAGAGAGCGGAAGAAAAGTCCAACACAAAACAAACATTGTTGATGAAACAAAATCAGAAGAATGAAGGAAATTCAGGAAAACCGAACAAGAGAGGCCAAGGAAAAGGAAGAGGTAGAAATAATGGTGGACGAGACTCGGAAGGGAAGCATGAGTGCTCTTCATAATCGAGAGGTGACAAAAGTAGATACTCATAATTGAGAAGTGGTCGATCAGGCTCTGGTGTAAGAAGAATATACAATGTTATAATTGTTACAAGTGTGACCATTATGTTGTTGATTGTTGGAATGAAAAAAAAAAGAAACGAATGTTGCACAATAGGAAGACTCGGAGGATGAAGTGCTATTAATGGTGATCACGACGAAATTAGTGGAAATTTTTGGTGAATCTTGGTATTTGGATATTGGTTATTTTGAATCACATGTCATTTCAGAAGATTTTGTTCGTCGATCTCGATAAGAGTGTTAGATCGAAGGTAAAATTTGTAGATAATTCGATAGTGAGTTGTGAAGGGAAAGGAAGAATAATGATCAAAAGAAGAGATGATAAATTTGCAATAATTTCATATGTGCTCAATGTTCCAACCATAAAGTATAATTTGTTAAGTATTAGTCAACTTATTTAGAAAGAACATTTGATCGATTGAATGTAGAGGAGCAAATGTTGAGAATCCTCGATAATAATGAGATCAATTTTGAAGACATCTCTGAGTAAGAACAGAGTTTTCGAGTCGATATTTCAGTATGAAATAACTTGTGTTTTGCAGCAGCAGTCTCTGACGTCAATTGGTTGTGACATTTAAGGTATGAACATCTTGACTTTGATAGTTTGAACTAACTTGCAGAAAAGGAGACAGTTATTAGACTGCCTCGAGTTCAAAAGTGTAAAGATATATGTGAAAGTTGCAAGACAAGTAAACAAGCTAAAAATCTTTTTAAGGTGCACATCAAGATTAAAAGTAATGATGTGTTAGAAGTTATTTACACCGATGTGTGTGGACCCTTGGTATTTTGTAACATTCATTGATGACTATAACAAGAAGATATGGGTGTACTTGCTCAAGAAGCGGTCAGAGGTGTTTATTCATTTAATCAATTTTTAAATCAATGATCGAGAAATAGTGTGGTCGACCTATGAAAGTATTGAAATCAGATAGTGGTAGAGAATATAATAATGATGAGTTTGCATCATTTTACAAGAAGAATGGTATTTTGCATGAGATTGTATCCTCATATACACCACAACACAATGAAGTTGTGAAAAAAAGAAATCGAACGATTTTAAATATGATTAGAAGTATGTTGAACGAACACCAAAGGCTTGCCACATTCATTTTAGATAGAAGCGGTATTGACAGCCAATACATCTTGAATTGATGTCCAACAAAGAGAGTAAAGGAGAAAATACCAAAGGAAGTATGGTTTGAGAGAAAGCCAAATGTAAAACACTTGAGAGTATTTTGTTTGATTGCATGGAGGCATGTTCTAGAGGAGGGAAAGAAGAAGTTTGATGACAGAAGCCAAAAGTTAATTCTTGTAGGATATCATTCAACTGTTGCGTATAAGTTATGATCCTATCAAGAAAAAGATCATCATCAGTAGAGATGTTGTTACTGATGAGAAAGATTATTGAAAATGGTGTTCGATGGTGGAAAATTGAAGTGTTAGCTTCGATGACTCAGGTGATGCAAAAATTGAAGACAATGATTGATCGACTTTTGAAATCAAAGATGGTGCAAATTGATCGACATCAGAAACCGAAAAAGGTAGAAATCGATTGATTTCTACAATCGAAGGAAGGAGAAATCTACCTACAAGATTGATTAGAATACCAACGAGACTCAATGATTATGTGATTAATAGTAATAATAATGTCATAATATCTGGACCAATAATTGGAGAAACAGAATACAAGAATGATCTTGTACATCTAGCATTGTTGATGTCGAGCCTGAACTTTGAAGAAGCAATTGAGGATCCCAAGTGGATCGAAACTATGAAAGGAGTTGTTGGCAATCGAGAAGAATAAAACATGGGAGTTAACTAATCTCTTAGATAATCAAAGACCAATTGAAGTAAAATGGGTGTACAAAACGAAGTTGAAATAGGACAAAACAGTTGCAAGACATAAAGCCAGACTTATGGCGAAAGGCTTTATATAGAGAGAAGGTTTAAATTACAAAGAAGTGTATGCACCTATTGCCAAGATGGAGACGATAAGAACAGTTGTAGCCCTCACCAGCTATAAAGGTTGGCAGATGCATCAAATGGATGTAAAATCTGTATTTTCGAATGATGAATTGGAGGAAGAAATTTATATTACACAAACATCAAGTTTGTGATTACTAGAGATTAACAGAAGGTTCATAGATTGAAGAAGACATTATATGGCTTGAAACAAGCCCCAAGAGTCTGAAACACTAAAATATATGGTTGTCTTCGACAACAAGAATTCTTGAAGTGTGAAGTCGAGTATGAGATTTGCTTGAAGATCGAAAGAGATGATGTGTTAATTTTTTGCTTATATGTCAATGATTTGTTGATTACATACGGTAAAATTACTTCGACCGATAATTTTTAAAGGAAAATGCAAAATCAATTTGAGATGATCGATATCGGAAAATGTCTTATTTTCTTGGAATGGAAATCATTGAAGGCAAAAAAGGTGTTTTAATCCACCAAAATAAATATGTTAAAGTGTTCAAGAAGTTTAGAATGAGTGAATGTAGTGCGACAATTATACCAGTCGAGACAAATGTGAAACTTGACAAAGATGAAGATGGGAAGCTTGTAAATGCTACTGTTTACAGACATATGATTGGTTGTTTAAGGTACTTGTCGTGTAGTAGATACTTGTGGTGTAGTAGACCATATATCTACTTTGGCATTGGGTTACTGAGTAGATTTATTAAGAAACCCAAAGCATCTCATCTTGCAGTAGTTACGAGAGTTATGAGGTATATTAAATGAACGATTGATTTTGATATTCTATTACCAAATGCTACACATCAAAATGAAGAAAAGTTGGTTGGATATTCTGATCATGACTGGGCTAGAGATAAAGTTGGTTTCAGAAACACATATAGTTATGTATTCGTATTGGAAAAATCACCGATTTCATGGTGCTCAAAGTTACAACATGTGATACTCTCCTCTTGTGAAGCTCACGTGGTTGCTGCTTGCACAACTTGTCAAATATTGTGGATTGAGAGTTTGGTAAACCAAGTCTTTGAAATATCAGAGAAGATTATGATTAAAAATTGACAATAAGTCAATCATAAATTTAGCGAAAAATTCAATTTATCATGGAAGAAACAAATATATTGGTTTGAGATAATAAAATAAGGAAGAAGAAACCGAAGCTTGAACACCATGGCACGAAAGAACAGATGACGATCATTATCACAAAACTTTTGAATAATGGAAAGTTCAAATAATTGAAAAAAAATTAAATATTAAATTGATTGCTGAATTAGGTAGTTGTATTTGATGATAATTTAATAATATTGTAATAATTGTTTCATTAACCAATCTCATTGATGATGTTAAATATGGTATCTCTATAATATTTCAGGAGTACAATTGTATAATTTAGCTCTTTTTTTATATTTTTTAAATAGTTCTTTCTTATAACCCTTTCTGCTAACACTAATTGAGAAATATTGATCACAAATCTTGTAATTTTTTGTATCATATACAATATCTCACTGTTATTAATACAGCCAATTCTAACTAACTTTCCTTTGATAGTTCTTCAATATCACTTGGCAGTTAAAGAGATTGAACATTAATAGTTAAAATGTTTTACAATTAGCAGTTAGGATACAATGCAATGCAGTTCAAACTAAAAAATGAAAATTTCTAATGGTTATTAAAACAGTTGAGACTTTAATTTGACAGCGTCATACTATACATATATTTTCACAATCTAATACTTAATCAATAATTGTACTTCACATTTTAAACACTGTTTCGAAGAAGTAAGAAAGAAAAACCAAAGAACGTAAAAGACGAGATTTATCATTTAGACGAAAAAGAGAGGACGTTAGATTAGCAAGGGAGCACACTCCATGAAGATAAAATTGGTTCTCACAAAATTTAGCATGCATAAATTTCATTTAAAGAATGTCAAAATTCTTCTAATATTGAGAGTGTTATTAATTATGAATATGGAAGTTTAATTCTGACCGTCACCAAAGGAAGGATACTGTCGCCCAAAAAAGTTACTCCAGATTATGAAGCTCTCAATAAGTTTTCTTTTTCTGTCGCAATTTTCTAGCTACCAATGCCAGTGAGCCACAGACAAGGCAATCACCCTAACACCCCCCACGTCCCAAACTAAGGTGTTTGCAGCTACAAAGAGAGGCTTGTAAAATTTCACCACACCAATTTAACCGCTAATGCTCCTATTGCAGCTGTTTTGATATATGTTAATGAAGATAATAGATAGCCATCATATTTGAGAGCAATGAAAAGCATAGCAAACTTCTTTTTCATTCTGATGACACCAAATTTTCAAATTATTCAGAGACTGACGGGAAGCGGAAAACTGTTTCAAAGTGGGATCTACTTCATTGAACGGTATGAGCCACGGATTCATTATTCGTATACACTACCCAGCTGTCTATCTATTCCTCTTGTCCACTTAAAAAAAAAAAAGCAATTTAAGGCAGTAGAAACCATCAAAGGTTTAGGCCAATTGTAAAATCACTTCACAAATCATTTGTATAAAAATAACGAGTTTTGACTAACTGTTTATATTGATTTTCAATATGAACTGTGTCGAGCCAACTGAAAATTAACAATTTTTTTTATGACATTAACAAAAATAGCTTGCGTAAAAACCGATTGCTTGATCCAACTACATTGATTGTTTTTATAATCAATTTACATGTCGTACTAAACACTCACTTTCTCTTCCTTCTATTATCAGCTGTAGGATTCCTCATGTCATTTTTGGCTAGACCAGAGCCAGGGGCCATCCCATATGGCATAGGAGAAGGAGCTTGAGCAGGTGTTGCTGTCACAGCAACGCTTGTAGCAGGTACTGGTGGTATTGCAGATACAGGTGCCTGAGCTGGAGTTGAAACTGGAGCAGGAACTGAAGATGTGGCACTAGGTTCAGGAAGTGATCTTGGTAAAATGTGTTTTAGCCGATTGTTCCTATAATTCTTCCAGAAGTAGAATTGTTGTCTATGTGCCAGTTCCTAAAATACAGAGACAAGTAGTGTATGGACAATCCGTGAGATACAAATAAAGCAAAGCAATTATTTTCAGTTATTATTTCAAAGATGTGAAGGTTTGGTAATCTATTGGTGACTATATATATATATATATATATCAGGGTAAACATATTGTTATAAATCCTAAGCTCACAGTATCATAAATACAATAACAGATTGTTGATTCCCCGACAAAGAGATCACCGCTGACTTTGTTTCATTTCATACAGTTTACAAGCAAAATTTGTTAATCTCTCTGGCCTCAAATATAAGCAAAAACATGGCAATGTTTAGTGAACTTAAATATAAATAAATCCAACGAACTGAACCTTATTCAATGTTATTATCAAATACCCTTATGTTTAAATCTAAGCTCTATCTCTGATATATATAAATGGGGTAATTTAGAAAATATACCTCTTTATTTTATGAAATCAAGAACACCACATGAACCTAACTAACAATCTTATTCAATGTAAAATTAGGTAATTTTGCTTACTTATATTTGAGCCTAAAAGTCGTATGGGAGGAGGAATCTATTCTAAAGAAATAGAGAATGGCGTGGCTTCAGACAGGAGCAATGTCACATGAAGAAGTCCAGGAGAAAGCATAATTGTATAGGAGGGCAAACAGATACTGCCATGTACCTTATTGATAGGATGTGCCATTGCATTGCGAAAATTTGCATTCTGAAGCAGCTCAAGAAAATAGAGACAATGAGGATACCTAGCATTCATAGAACATGACTAAATCAGGATAGAAACCCAGCAAGGTCAGAGCAAAACATAGCTGAATAAGGGTGGGCACAAAATAGTAAAAGGTGCCAGAACAAGCTATACTTGTAGTCACAAGATTTACATTGATTATTGAATTCCGTGTATTGCTCCTAGACTAAAATTTTTAATCCTTTTACCCTAGTAAAAATAACTTGTAGTCACAAGATTTACATAATCCCTTATTTGAAGATAATGCTTACATAATAAATTTAATATATTCAGGGCGCTGCCAATATTGAAGATACTTTAAGTATCCTATGAATGCTTCATCCTCAAAATATCGATTCTGAGCCAAATCTGTTTGAAAGTGCAACAGATATAAGAATGAGATAAAATAAAAACTCCAAAAGTAAATCACACATACAAATGACCAAGCATGCCACTTTTTAAAAAATGTGAAAAAGAAATTTCATAAAGACAATAGAAATTACAGAGGAGAATACGGAATCTTCCTCAACACAAGCAAAATACAAAACAGCTAAGATAGAAGAAAACATCAGTAGAGAAAGTTGTCAACTCCTCGAACATGTTTCTGTCAACCACAATTGTGGCTCCATCAGCGGCATCGGTATGCAAGTTCAAGAATCAGAATGAAACCCAACCATGACAACAATTTAACATCTTATCCCCCATAAAACAACAATATATTTTATGCAGAATAGAATCCAAATTGCCTAATCTTGTTCAAAATAAGCTGTGTTGTATCAGAATCCCAATTACTTGCAACATCCATTTTATACAACTTATTTCTAGCTTTCCAACTAAACATAATCTTTTTATCCATAGAAATTGAACAATGTCTGGGGTTTACAACAACTCACGCACCCACCCCAATCAACTAACTGAGCTAGACCCCTTGAACTATTGTTCAATGAAGTTCAAACTATCAAAGCATACAAATGAAGTGAAAATCATACAGTGGATGTAGGTAGGATTGGCAAGGCACTGAACAAACTCCAATTCCAGCAAAAACCGTTGCCGCCCGTCATCTGGATCTTTGTATATGTTCTTTGGCCTGAAAAAAAAAATACATTAACCAATAACCAAGATGAAATAAAAAAAGAAAAAAAATAAGGAATTTGGAGAATAAGCAAAGCCCTAAAAAAGGGTTACACTTCAAATAAAGCAGAAGACAAAAGCCCTCTGGTTATCACCAACCCAACCATGTTGGGGTATGATAATGTGGTATGAAGCAGGCAAAGAAATGGAAAATAGCTTACGATGACGGAGAAGTATCGGTTGAATTGTCGCTTTCGCTTTTATAGGCCATGGAATTGGTACTCTCTTAGCTGCAAGAACAACAGTGAGTTTCAAACACGAAATTTGGTGGGGTTAGAACTGCTATACGACCTTGCTCCCACCTTTGAATCAGAAACAGACCCAATTCTATGAATTCGATGCATCTACGTTTGTTAATTACGAGTTACAACCATCCGCCTATGTAGCTGTTCGTGTTTGCCGTTTTTTGGCACATCCCTTTTTATTTTGAAATAGCCTTTCCGGCATTAAATTTATGGGGGTGGTAAGAGAAGAATTCATTATTTGTTATGGGCTGAAAATAGCCCAAATTAAAAGCAACAAACTTGCCCAGTTTACTCCATGAGATTGGACCATGCTTTGTCTATTTTGTTATAGGAGGCTGTTGCTTCCTCCACCCCCAAAATTATATTAAACCCCATTTTTATTCATAAATACGGATATCAAAGAAGGTTTTGTATAAATAGTTTTCACTCTCGCGTTTTTTTTTTTTTTGTAGAATTTACGGGTTAATCTCGCTTATTTACATGTGACTTCTGTAGCTCGAATTAAGAAGAACATGTTGCGGATAAGTTAATGAAGATAATGTAAATTGTTCACGCTAATGTTGTTTAGATATGATGGACACCACTTGGTGGGTCATTCATGGGTGGGTACAAGTTAACCCATCGAACTCATTTTGTTTTTCTAAATAAAAAAATTGTTAAGGGTTCTGGTTTAGGATTCTTAAAGTTTGGCAAGCAATATTCCATTTCAACTTGCTCCATAGTGAGAAGGTTTGCAATAGAGGGCAGGTATGCCTAATCTCTTAGAAAACAAAAGTTGGTACTGAACCACTCCTATATGTTCCAAGAGACCACTACTACTATAAAATGGACTTTAGTGCAAACGCACCAAAGCAATGGAAAATGAATGAAACAGCAAAGAAGAAGCATGTTAGGGAACCACCTTCAGTTCCTTTCATATGGGAACTAAAGCCAGGCACTCCTAAGAAAGATTGGAAGCCAGAGGTCTCTTCAGTTGCCCACATCCCTCAAACTCCTCTCAAACTAATTGCCTCAATCCCATTTGTTTGGGAAGAAAAACCAGGACAACCCCTTCCTAATTTCTCACATCTTTCAGTTGACCCTGTGCTTCCAAAACCGGACAAAATACTCATTCATGTAGCATCATCTTCAGGTTTTTCTTCTGCATGCAACTTTGGCCATGATGACAAAGACAAAGGAAGCTGCGATTATGACAGTGAAGGCATAACTAGCTTAGACCTTGAAGCTTTTAGATTTGATGCAGATGGGTCATTTGATTCAGTTCCCTCACTACTTGCCAATTGTCTTGTGCCATCAGCAAAAGTTTCCAGTGCCATTCCACTGATAGAAACCCCCTCCTCACCAGCCTCCTCAGATTCAGATAGTAGCACAAGCAGCTATGCAACTGGCAGATCAAGTCCAATTGGTGCTACTTTCCTTGAGAGCCTATTTCCTTTGTATACACCTAAGTCTGTCTTCCTTGAAAGGGATGAGAACTTGGAAAAAGAAACTTTGAGTACACAAGAACCAGGAGCAAAAGATTTTTATCATGAAGATATTGCCAGTGACATGATAAGGAGGCCACCAACACTCCAAGAGTTAATTATGATGAGCCGGAGAAGAAGCTGCAGAAGAAAAGCAGTTCAAATGAATAAATGGGATCCACCAAAGGTAAGAACATAATTCAACATCCAATCTTCAAGTTTTCTTCTTTTCTTTTCTTTTTTTTCCTTTTACCACCTCTATTTGCATGGCTACAAGATTTTAGCACTCTATGAGAGACTCAGTAATCCTTAGGAAAACTTTGAACCTCTAAATTAAATGACAAACTAGTATATTCGTTATCATTTAATCACAAATTGTCTTTATAAGATTGTTAACTTTTATAATAACGCAGAAATTTAAATTTAATTGTTTCATGCATGTCTACATTTGATTTCCCTTGCAAATGATGTTAAATTGCTACACGCATGGTTATGATATTGCACAGATGCTTATATCAAACTATCTTCTGCTCTTTTGTCTGTCAATATTGTGCAGAAAATCACAAGAAAACAAACTTTTGGATGCTTCCCGATTGTAACTAACAGCAATATGATTGAGGGGCTGCTGAAAAGAAAGTATTTTCCCAGACTTAAACTGATATAGATAGTATCAAAAGTCTGTAGAAGGAAATATCAAGAAGAGAAGTACCAAGACTGTTCTAGGACAACATCCCCATCTACCAACTCATTATAAATCAACCTCTTCTAATTTACTATATCAAGTCTCTTTCAATTTATGGGTTTTATATGTGAAGAATTTAGATCGTGAAAGAATATAGTTTTGCACTGTAATATATCCAAATTAGTCTTTTCCAAGCCATAATGATACTTACTATCATGGATGTGCACATTCTTCTTCGACAAAACTTTGTTAAGTATTTTGTGTTACTCTCCAATTAAAATCGAACCTCTATACTTTGATAATCTCTTCAATTAAGGTTTAAATTAAAAAAAAAAAAAAAAAGAGAGATGAAATTCTAATTTCAATTAGAAAACGGTATAAAAGCACTTGAAGAATTGTATTTAGACATCCCAATAACAGCGCAAGTTAATGTAAATAAAAATAAAAGTTTCAACGTCAAAGTCCACTGTTTTCAACAATTTTCTTGCCACGTCCAAAATAATTAGAGAAATACTACAGAAAATTACGAGTGTACAGGAGAGAGATAATTGTTTTCTCTTAAAAACAAAGAAAGTTCAGAGCATTTATGTAATGTAATAAAAAGTAATAAAAAAAATATAGAAAAGTTCAGAGCATTGGAAGTAAAGTTGTCACTTTACTCACACTCCGATTAAACTTTTCAACATTATTTCTATTTGATCATTTAAATATCTATTTCAAGCAACACTTCTACTTGATGTTCAGTATATTCCTAATCTACCACAATTTGTATGCCTATCTTTAAATAAAATTCCATTTTATAAATGTTTAATAAATCTGAAATATTACTTACATATTCAATTATAATAAATTTATTTTTAAAACATATATTCACTGTATAAATTATAAACTATACTAAAATACTTTAAGGTGCATGAATGAAGCAAGTAGCAGAGTCTGTGGATGAGAGAAATAAGTGATGAAAAAAAGATGTAGTTTTGTGAGGGAGACGTTAGCTGTAAATAGTAAAATGTGCCATTCTTCTTCTTCTTCTTCGGGCATTAATTGTATGCATGCAGAATGAATTTATGTAAGACATTGGTATGTGTAACAATTCATTATTAATTTCAAATTTATGAGCAGTAATAGTTTTGCAGTCTTAAAAGCGTTGTGTCTGGCAAAGGACTATAGTTTTGCAGGCTAAAATATCAATGAGAGGAGTTTGGATCTTCTACATTCTGCACCCTATTTAATCCACTCTGCTGCTTCATCAGTATTTATATGATTTTAGTTCAAATATTTGGTGCATTACTGCTGATAGAAATTTGATTAAGGCAAGCAGTTAAACAAAAATGTAGTATTAAAAAAAATTAAATGAGACAAGAAAAATAAAAATTCTATTAAAGTTATTTTTTATAAAAAAAATAATAGAACTTCACATTATTCTACAAGTTAGAAGTTACGTCTTTCCGTGTAACTTTGTCTTTTCAATTAAAGTATTTGCATAATAATTTTTATAATTTCTAACAAAAAATGATTTATATAATTTTTCAAATGTTTCTATTTAGATAAATCAATTCAAATTCATTAAATTTAATTTTTATTCATTTGATAAGATATTTTGATTATAACCAAATACAAAAACACTAAATACCAAATAAAAAAAATATTAATGCGAATAAATCTTTATAGAAAGAATGACACTCCATCCTAGTCCATGAATAAACTAAAAGTAAACCAAAAGTATCTAAAAACTTCACCAAAATACTGTATACATAAAAACTACATAAAGTTAATAATCTTTCATTAATTTTCTAATTCAAAATAATGAAATTGTAAACATAAACTTTAATAATTCAAATTTCTTTTCAACAATAAATTTTATTAGAAAAATATTTCAAATTCTCATAAGAAAATATAAATTACCATCTATAAATTTCTAATTAAGAGATAAAAAAAACCAAGGAAATTTGATATGCATTAGATAGATAAGATAGTAAGCAACAAGTACTTGTAAAGATATACAGTACTAGAATCTTGCATAATTTATATAACAGTGAAGTGTTTAATCCTATAGACATGTTCCTCCATCTATGGGTTAAATGTTGGTGAGGATTAAATCTAATCACAAAAAGAAATTAGTTTCACCCAGACTGAATATTACTGATGAATCAAGTGCTCTTGGATATTACATCTCCAAAGCGTACAAACCATTGAGCATTGGTAGAGTTGTTATCCTGCTGAGGTGGTTGTCCTTCCACTTTTCGTGGTTGTCCCTTCTCGATCACAAAATGGGCGTAGTCAAACTTCTTTGCAGGTGGAGCAGTGATTTTAGTTGGAGGTGAAGGGAGTAGTGATACCAGAACCCTGGCTACTTCATGCATGGTAGGCCTCTCAGAAGGGTTCTTTTTCGTGCAAAGCAAAGCAAGCTGAAATGTCTTCTTAACATGAGCTAGATCAATGCAGGTTATAGACACCTCTGCATCCACAGCCTCCATTACAGTATTGTTATCTGCCTTGGACAATATCTAAAAAATCATGCAAAAATGAGTCTACAATTAGAAATGAATAAAGCTAAAAGTTTTACAAAAATTATATAAGCTCTGTAAATGGCCTGCTCAAAATGAAAAAACTGTTCAGTGCAAAAATAAGCATATCCACTGTTAAACTTTGTTAACCCCTTAGAATGCACTAACCAAATGGTAATGGTAAAAGTAATACAGCAGCTTTAAAGCATTGTAATAGTAATGAACGTACCAATTGATGCAAATTAGACTCATTGTCCACTGCCTTCTTTCCAGTAAGTAACTCCAGCAGAACTATGCCAAAGCTATACACATCTGATTTTTCATTCAGCCTAGATGTTCGGGCATACTCAGGGTCAATATAACCTATAGTTCCAAGGACATAGGTCGATGCATGAGTTCTGGTCGTCGAGATGCATTTTGCCGTGCCAAAATCGGAGAGATGAGCTTCAAAGTTCTCATCCAGCAAAATATTCGAAGATTTTATGTCCCTATGAACTATTCGTGGGTTGCAGTCATGATGGAGATAAGCAAGTCCTTCAGCTGCTCCAACAGCAATCCTCAGGCGTGTTTCCCAATCAAGTTTTACCTTCGAGGGACCTGCATCAAATGAGACATTATAGGCACAAAACCCTAAACAGCATCAAAGCAATGTAAAAATAAGAGAACAAGAAAGTTGGCAATATGGAGAGTATAATATCCAGAGCATACACTTAGCAACACTTGCAACAAACTATTTCAAAACATCCACCAAATTCAGTTAAAAAATTTCTAGCCTGTTAAGAAACATTACCATGTAGAAGATCCCACAGTGAGCCATTCGCCATATAGTCATAGAAAAGAAGATTTCCATTGGGAGTAAGTGCATATCCATGCAAGGTGACAAGGTTTCTATGCCTAATGCTACCCACTGTTTCAAGTTCGGTCTCAAACTCCCTCAAATTGTGTGGGTGTTGGTTGTAGAGTCGCTTAATTGCAATCGGTCGGGAATTCTTTAAAACACATTTGTATACCGTACTAGAGGCACCATACCCTATGATATATTTCTCATTCAGATTTTCTGTGCTTCTCATTATATCATCCAAGGTGTGAATAGCCATATCCATGTGAAGAATAACTAGTTTTGGGGAACCTGAAATGAGGCAAGCCCAACAAAACAAAAACAAGAAACATCTAAGCCAGTGTTTTGATATCCCGAGAAAATGCTAACATTCAGCATACCTTGCCCAGTTCTGCTAGATCCTTTCTTGAATTGCTTCGATTGGCTGGACCTATAGAAGGCTACAATGACCATGGCTAACAAAATCATAATTCCTAGCGTGAGACATACAACAGCAACTCTCGAGAAAATTTCTGATAAAAAGGGTACAAAATTAACCTCATTATAAAAAAACAATTCAATTATAAAAGGCATCTTAATAGGGAACGGGAATTACACCTCTTGATTTTGGTATGTAAGGACGACATATTGATCCTAACCAATCTCCACATAATAATGAGTTTCCAAAGAAGCTGTAAAATGTACACTATGTGTCATTGATACACAAAGATCAGATGCAATAAAACCAATAGGCTCTTCCCTACAGTACCTGTCGGCTGAAAACCTAGAGAAGTTCTTCATAGAGGGAATTACTCCAGAAAGGTTATTATAGGACAAATTTCTACATCAAAAACAATAATAATAATAATAAGCAAAGCAAATGGTCCAAATGAACAAGGAGGAAGGGGGACATAATTAAAACCACAAAGCTGGCTGTCCGGCATACTGACAATAATGTAAGACTAAAACAATTAGTCAGCTGATCAGGAATCTTCCCACGCAGATCATTGTTGTTCATAATCCTAGAATAAAATATAAGTAAAAATAAGTTGGTGTTGTTATCCCCCAATGGATCAACATTATATACCATAAAATAGTTCAAAGCTGTACGTACAAAGACATAAGGTTCTGTAGCTGACCAATTTCCGGAGGAATGCTACCAGACAGATTGTTGAATGACATATCACTAGAAGCAGAATAAATTACATATCAATAAATTAACTACAGATAAAAGCTTAACAAGACATAGGAATTTACAATTCCACAAAAGTCTATAAAACTTACAGAATTTGAATGCTTCTGAGATTCCCAAATTCGGCTGGCAAAGAACCTCCAAGGTGGTTGTGACTCAAGTTGCTGCGTTTGTCACAGGAAAATATTATTCAGGAAAGCATTAATAGAAAACTCAAAAATGATCACATTGTTCAGTACAATTTCTTTCTTACAGGGTCAGGAGATGTTCCAAGTAACCAATAGATGGTGGCACATGACCTGAAAAATTATTGTTGGATAGATCCCTGAAACAAAGTATAAAATAAATTAAGTTAAACTCTACAGACATTGACATTCATCAGGTTATAAACGTTTTTTATTTCTAAGGAAGCTTACAATGTATCTAGATTAATGATATGCCCCAACTCAACGGGTATATTCCCCTTGAAGTTATTTGCGGAGAGGTTTCTGCACATCAAAAGTTTTACTATTAAATTAGTAAAAAGAAAGAAATATGCAATGATTAGAGAAACAAGTTTTCGATAACATACAAGTACGTCAAACTATCAAGGCCACGGAAGCTCAATGGAATCGAACCACTTAACTGATTACCGTGCACATTGCTGAAAGTAAAACCAAATGAATGAATAAATGTTCATGCCAACGTATTGAAAACAATATGCGGGTAGCAATCAGAAATCTTACAACTGGTTTAAGGCAGTGCAGGAGCTTATGTTATGTGGAATAGTTCCATCAAAATGATTATTGGCAAGATTCCTGAAAATAGTAAACGAAGCTAGTTTACACCAGACACGGAAAACAGTTATTGACAGCATAACTGATTAACTATAACTTACAATTCAAAAAGATGTTCTAGCTTCCCAAATTCATTTGGAATTTGACCAACTAGGTGGTTGTCGTTCAATTGCCTGAAAAGTCATAATGCGTAAGTACATGTACAAAAAACCTATGAAGATGATACAAATATATAAGGTCAACTTACAAGTAGCTCAGTTTGGACATATTGCCGAGTTCAGGAGGTATTGGGCCAGTAAGCATGTTTCCGTGAAGGTACCTGACCAATTAAAGTTCTTAGACGAAAACAACATAACTAGAAGTTTAAGTCAGTGCATAGTTACACTCACAGTTTTCCGGTGAAGGTGAGATTGCCAAGTATTGGAGGAATTGATCCCACTAACTCGTTTTCACTCAGATCCCTACAGAAATGTTACGTTACAGAACACATTGTTAGTAATAAAACTACAAAATGTATAAGAACTTGAATTACTTAAACCATTAAATTATTAACATAATCTTCAAATTAAAATAATTATAAAGTATACTTACAATATTGCAAGGGCTTGCATTAAACCAATCACTTCTGGAATCTTCCCAGTTAGTCTATTGCCTTGAAGTGACCTGGGCAGAAAGCACAGTAACACTTGATTACACACATATATTATATAAATATATATAATAAAAATAACTTGACAAATCAATGTTCTCAAATAAAATAAAACTATTGGTCAATTGACAGTACTGCTAGCAATAAAATAATAACTTCACAGTGAAAATACTCACAAAGTAGCAACTTGCAGAAATCCAATATTATATGGAATCTCTCCAGTAATCTGATTATATGATATGTCGCTGGAATTAAAATAATAGGGTGACAATCAGGACACAAATATAGAAAATCAAATATGCAAAGACCAGTTATTTGGCTTACAAGATTTCGAAACTTGTACAGTTTCCTATGCTGTCAGGTATGGTACCAGTCAAATTATTGCCTCTCACATCGCTGAGAAATTATAGAAACCAACAGAAGAAAAATGGTAAATAAAAGCTGTTAGGTTACAAGAAGGATCCAATGAGAATTCATCATCCTTAAGTTAGATTACTCACAAATACCACAATCCAGTTAATTGACATATATCAGGGGACAGAATACCACTCAACATGTTCCCTCGTAATCCACTGCATCAATGAGCAATGCCAATTAAATCTCTCAGAGTAAAAGAGCTGTTAAGAATTAGCTAGACACAAAAGCAAAATACAGAGAAAAGATAAAACTCACAGGTACTGTAAAACTTCATTCCAATAGAGTAATCTTGGTATTTCTCCTGTGAGCCTATTTCGAGCAAGATCACTGTAACATAACAGAACAGTAATTGCACTGATTTAGAGGCCAAATCAAGCAACAGACCAGTATAAAACACAGAAGAAACAAAACTTCTGTCATTACTTAATTTTTATTTGAATGGATGAGTATCATTTAAAAAAATACAAATACGTTAAAATTCAAAAATGAGAAGAGGAGCAGAACTTACAGAGTCTTCAGATTTGGAATTTGGGTTAAAGTTGAAGGGATAGGACCCGTCAATTGATTACTCTTTAGATTCCTGCATTCACCAGTTCAAAAATAAGCATCATTCAAGTAATGCCGCACAATATAATAAATGACATAGTATGCTTTCAAGCTTACAAAAACTCAAGTTGCTTAAGCTTTGAAAGGGAGAAAGGTATATCACCATAAAGCTGATTATCAGACAAATCCCTTCGATTAAAAGAAAAAAAATGTTAGCATAAAAAATATTTCGCAGAAAACAAGTTCACATGCGAGCGTAGTAACAAAAGCACAAGTAGGGTCCTACAGATGAACAAGAGCGGCACAGTTTCCAATTTCATCTGGGATTTGCCCCGTTAATTTATTCCCTTGCAAGTCTCTGGTTATAAAAAAGCAGACAACTTAGATACAAACCAAAGAGATTGAACCTAACAATTAAATGCATTTCAGTTGAGATTTAACCGTAACATACACTGATTGCAAGTTTCCCAAGTCCCCGACGGCTGGTGATATCTCCCCACCTAGGTTCAAGCTGGACAAATTCCTACAAGCACAGGAAAAAGCACTTTAACTCAAAACAAACAGTTAATTAACACAAAGGGTGGTTTACGGAGAAAGATTAAGACAAATGAAGCAAATAATCAAAAAGGGATTATTAGCTCACAGAGAAATCACAGTAAGGCTGCCATTATCGCAGTAAACTCCACGCCATGAGCAAAAGTCGTCACTGTGAACGTCATCCCAGTCAAGAAGCACGTCTGCCATATTGCTGAAAGTAGCCTTCATCGCTATTAATGCTTGCCCTGCACATTTTCAGGGTCATTCAACACTCAAGCACTTCCAGAGCTCAGCACCGTACAAATTTACAATTTATAAATGCCATAGTACACAGTGTTCCATCGTCTACGATTAGAATTACATACGCACATCACGCCACAAAGAAAATTGGAGGACCAAATTACAAATCGCATACAAAATACTTCCAAACAAAATCAATTAATTAACCTTCGGCAAATAATGGCAATCATCAAACCACGGAAATGTGGAAGAATATAGGAAACACAGGTCTTATATAAAAGTGTGTATCCATTCTCCTCCAAACAAGGGTCAAGTAAAGTACCGAGATTAAAATATATCACTTTCATATTCATGAAATTATTAAATTTACCAGCTAGAGTTATAGAGTGTGCAAGTGAAAGAAGTCAAGTTATCCATGTGGTCTGGTTTTCATAAATTTCTATATTGTAATGATACAGTTATAATTACAATGAATAAAAATTTCTGAAAAAGCATTCAAATGCAAAAAGGTAACCCATTATATATATATATATATATATATATATATATATATATATATATGGAACCTGAAACTGTGGAACAACGGTCCAAATGCTGTACGAATAAGTAAACAAATTTACATACAGATTAAAATATGGCCTAAACTGTACCATACTAAACAATTCATAAATAATGTGTTATGCGGATAATTCAAAATTATTAGAATTGAAGATTTTCTTAATCTGCATCATTACTGTGGCATTAATCATCTAAACATGCTACTATCCATATAACCTGTCAACAAAATCTGCATCTTATTCCAGTTTGGATCTATCCAAACAGCCTTTTACTTTAGCCTGGTATGGCATGAAATATTCACTGGAAAAGAGAGCAAAAAGGTAATAAAGGAATCACAATACCGAATTCGGATTATTTCATGATTCAACATAATGACACAGCAAATTCAATTATGAATGAAAATCTCAAAACACGTGAATTCTTTCTTCGAACGGAAAAGGCACTTTATTCCAGGACCCCCCCACCATGTCCAAAAAACACACAAACAGGGGTGTTTCACTTAATCCAACATCGTAAATATCTAAAACCCGACAAAAACTCCTCAATGTCGAATGTCTACAAATAACGATAGAACCAAAATGAAGAGAAGCTAAAACTAAATTTGACTTCGCTGCAACAAACAAAAAACAATAATCCACTGGAATGCGTTTCAAGTATATACAAAGCAACAGCACCAAAAACACTACTGCACTTTGATCGGCCTTCTTACAAATAAACTACAATGGAATGGAAAAGATACGAGAAACAGAATCACCACCGCAACAACCCCTTAAAACAAAAGATCAAAGAAGAGATTCAAGACTAAACAGGAGATGCAAGACAAACTTTGACGGGTAAAACAAACGAGATACCAAAAAGAACCAAAGGTGAGTCAAAATGAAAATGCACCCACAAAGCGCAAACCTTCTTCGCTGAGGGGCAAAGTAAATGGAGATAGAAGGAAGAGCATGAACAGAATAGGAGACACAAGAAGCTTCAACTTGCGGTGGCCAACATAGAACAACAAAACCAAGCCATTATCTTCCATGGTCGCCAACCAAGGCATGTAGCAGAAAAGACCAGGTATAAGAGAATGCAGTGAATATTTTTACAATGACAAAGGTTGTTTTGTTGGTGTTGTTTGGTAAAGAGAAAAAAAGTGGGTACAGGCGTTTGGCGTGAACTGTAAAATGCAGAGTGTTAAGAAGAGAGAGAGGGAGAGGGAGAGAGAGAAAAAGTAGGAAACGGCGGTGAAGAGACGTTGGCATAAGAGACTATCACTGTATATATGGGTGGTAGCCGCCGTCATTCATACTCGCCGTTTCCCAGCGTATTTGACAGCTATCGTTTTCTTCTCTACTTACGCGCCTCTCTTCGCGTGGCTTAAATCTCATTGTTTTCTTTTCTCACTAATGAATCTCATTAATGGCTAGAAGCAAAAGACAAATATAACTACGCGCTCTACAAGCCATGGCAAGCGTCGTTCGTACACATTTGGATTATGGAGCGCGTGTCCGTGGAGCGTCCGAGGGAGACACTGAGATTAGAAAGTAAAATTATTTTCCATTTTTGAAGATAAAAGTAATAATATTTAATCCTACGTTTACACTTACATCTTCTAAATCCTCGTCTTGTTGTATGATCTACAAAATTATTTTTATATATAAACATAACAATTATTATTACATTTAATACTAGAAAAAATATTAAAACATTCTATTTAAAAAGTTTATAATTTTTATGAAATATTTTAAAAGGCACACCAGCTTTTTTGTTGGGCTCATAAGGGAAAGAAAGATATTTTGAGAAAAAATAAAATAGTAAGTTAAGTAGGATGATTGAGCACAAGTTTATATTCAATTTTATCCAACTCCTTCGTTAAACACATTAAAAATTGTGGGTTGATTGAATTTATGTATTTATTCATTGAATTCAAAACGAACTAATCAAGACTCATCAGCTTGGATTGAAGTTATAGAAATAAAACTTATTTTATAATGAATCATTTATAATTTTTTTAAAATTCAATTGCCACAATAAATTTATTTACTATTATAATAATACATCATGATTTTAATTATTAAATTTTTTAAAATTTTCATATTTACTTTAAGATATTTATTTTAATATATTATTATTAAATTTTAATAATATAATAATTTAATTACAAAATAAATAAATAAGAGAAAAAATAAAATATAAAAGAAAAAAAATAAGTGAATAAAAAATTAATAATTTAAATATATTATTTAAGTAAAAAATTTAAAAATATATTATTTTTTTAATTGATTTATATAATGAAAGTCTCTTGTATAATTAATAAATTAAATATTTTTATTAGGTGTAAAACGAAATTTAATTGACTAGTCCGTGCATAAATGATAACCTACACAAGATCTAGATTGGCTCTTATAAAAATTTAAAAAATTTGGCATATTATATAATGAAAACATTATTTATCATATATTCTTCTTATAATTTTAATTCATGAAATTTTAAATAAAACATGATACATTATCTAAAAATAATTAATTTCAATTAAATATATTATTTTTTCAACGGATGAATCTAGTTTTAAACTTCATAATTTATAATTTAAATAAGTGTTTTGATAGGTGTGTTTAAATAATCAAAATAATTTAATTTATATAGGCAAGGACTAATTTTTTTATTCTAAATTTGATAGAAAAAATTGAATTAATAAAAATGTGATAAATTTTAGATTTTTTCCATCTTAAAAGTAAGGCAGAAGAAATAATATAATCTTTCTCCGATTTTATCTCCTATCCCTATTTATATTAAAAATTAAATTTTTAAAAATTAATATTTTAAAAATATTTTTTATTATTTTATTATATATAAGATTTTTTTATATTTCTATCATTTTATTATTATTTTTTAAATATTTTATATTAATTTGTTTATTATATTATTATTTTTTCTTATTTTCACTTATTCACTTCTTTTTAATCTCTTTAATCAATTTAATTTTTTATATTTTTTTAACCAATTTAACGAAAATTTTATTTTATTTTTTTTAATATTTTACGTAAATATAAATAATAATTAATATTATTTTATTTATAATTTATCTTTATTAAATTTATTATGTTATATTTTTTATTTTTATTTATTAAATATTAAATATTATTTTAATAAAATAATTATATTTTAAAAAATTAAAAGTAATTAATAATTAAAAAAATTAACTACTTTAAATTAATAAAATAAAAATTAATTTATTAAATATTTTTTTTAAATTATATAATTAATTTTTATTATATATATAATCAAATAATTAAATAATGTATAATAATAATAATGTTGTATAAAGAAAAAATAATTGAATGTTTATTTCATACGCATATTTTCATTTAATGTAATAAGTTAAAATATATATTTAATTAATATTAATTATAAATTTTAAAATTGTAAATATTTATTTATAGATAAAAATATGTAAATTCATTAAAATTATTTTATTATCAGTATAATTAATATTTTATATATAATATAAATAAGGGACTAGAGAAATCAGAAAATTCAAAATTTAATAAAGATTAAAATAAATTTTAATTTCTAATCTTAACAAAAATTAACAATAAAAATCGAACAGAGGTAAAATTCATCTCGTCCCATCACATCCCATTTCCTTCCATCCTATTCTATCCGTTGTTATGTATAATTAACATATTCAAAAAATTATATAATCTCCATAATTCTAATTGATTTTAAATTAAAATAATAATTAAACAAAATATTAACTTAAAATTAATAAATAATAATATACTAAATGAAATAAAATATTAAAAAATTGATAAAATAATAATTATAAAAAATATCATTAAAGATAACTTAAAATTAATAAATAATAATATATTAAATAAATTTAAATAAAAAAATGAAAGTGAATAGTATCAAATTAGTAGAAAATATATTAATTTAAATATTAAAAAAAAAATTAATAAGTTATGCCTGACAACTTGTCCCCATTTAAGTTATGCAAGATGACTCAAAACACTACATATTAAAAATATCTATTTTTTTATTTTATAACAGACTTGCTTACCCAATCAGTCACTGTTGACTTAATTATACATTATTTTTTATATGTGATGCTAATTTGTTGATTTTGATAGTTTATATTTAATTTTTTCATTTTAAAATAATAAGATATTATTATCTCAGATCTTGTTCCATATGTAATAGAAATATAATTAACTGCTTACCATAACTTTAATTTTAGGTGAGGATTGTTGGTAATATAGCCTAAAATAATATTACATAATAATATGTTATTGTAGGTTCTGTAATAATTATTTGAGTAATCAAATAATTATTTTAATTAATTTTATACAAATTTATTTAAGTTAATCAAGATATAAAATGTCCTTCCTAAAATCCAAAATCAATTTGTTAAGTATGTTTTCTTTTACTTTTATCAAATATTTACATGGTTATTTTTTATATATAAAATTGTATTAAGTCAAAGTGTGTTATATTTGTATTAAATACTAGTTATTAGATAAAATCAATATAAGAAACTTTAATAATTGAAAATTGCGACAAGAAAATATAAAAATTTATTAAAAAACGATTTACGAAACACATAAAACTGTGAAAATCATAAATAAGAAATATCGTATATTTATTAAAAAAATGATGAATGAGTATTTTAAAAAAAGTGAAATGACTTTGTAAGTTCATGATAAATATATGTAAGATGACTCTTGGAGGGTTTTGTCCTTACTTGGTAGGCAAGGTTTGGCCTTTGGCATTATTTGAGGGGTTTCAATCTATTGCACAAAATGGAAACAAGAAAAAAAAAAAAAATGAAGAGTTTGGAAGAGGGGTTTGCAGAAAATGGAAATAATAAAAAATAAATGAAGAGCTTTGGATGGTTTATCGTTATGGCAAAGAGCAATACATTGGGGTTCTGGTTATGAGAAAGTGTCTCTGGAAATTGATCAATTGATTTACAAGTTCCAATCTATTAGTGAATATTAATGTTCACACCACCATAACTTCATCACAGTGTTCTTGCCACAATGGTGAATGGTTAATTTCTATTTCCACGTAAACCGAATCAGAATTGGGTGGTGAGATCTTCTTCTGTGTCAAAACTTGAAAGTAAAGGAAATTAATGAGTTAAAAAATATAAAATTTGTTTAATTGGTGAAGAAACAAGACTGAAGTGTGTCTGAAACAGCCGTAGGTGGTGAAGAATAGGTTTCCAGAGTTGAGCAATAAAATAGGTTTGCATGTTGCGAGGTATAAAGCTGACTATGCTGAGTCCTTTTACTCTTAAATTATTGTATCTGTCTTCTCCTCATTTGGTAATTATCTGCTTCCTTTCTTTTTCTTGCTTTTATTGCTCAAAAGCAAAACCTTTTTTCTTCCCTTCAATGCAACAACTTCTCTTTCCACTCTCGTAGTTAATGTATTCTTGTGTTGTTTTAAAAGTTCCAGAGAAAATTATATTGCAATGCCTTGAATTAAGTTTAAACTTCTCGTTCTTTTTCGTGTTATAAATTTTGTTTATCGCAAATTGAGTAATCAAATTTCCATATGCATAAAATCAATTTTTTTTTTTTCATGAAAGGAATCCACAACGAGTTCTTCATAATCCGTTACCGAAGGTTTTCTATTCCTAGTTGTATACTTATTCCACGCATAGTAGAGTTCACGTAGAAAAAGAAATAAATAAAGTGAAAGACAATGAATAAAAAATAAAATAAATATTTTTTTTCAATAATTTTAGCTTTTTCTTTTAATTATTTACTATTGTTATTGTTATTATTTTAAATATAACTTAATTATATCTCGATTATATATTTTTTCATACATAATGTAAAAAAATATATATAATCAGCTTCTTTTATTTTATTGTTGAGAGAGAAAATAAATAATTTTAAAAGAACAATAATTGTAATCATTGTTTTTTGAAAAAGTAAATTTTATTACAATCCACTTTTATATAAAAGTTTAACAAGCTAATTGTTATTTATTTAAATTTTATCAATAAATATAATTATATCAACAACACAT